AACAAGGCTTAGCAAGGAGGGTACTGGCTGGAGCCCCGAGAATGGCTGAGTTCTGCCCACTGAGCAGGCCGACCGCATCTCTTTCAGTTCTGTATACTTGGCGCTGAGACTCGGCAGCCAAAGCGGTCCAGTGACCACCACTGCTTTCAGTTCAGCCAATTCATCAGCAAAAGAGGTGGCAGGCATTTACAGGAATCTCCTAAATGCAACCTAAATGTATTTTTAAACCCCCTAAAAGTAATCTTTATTCATCAAAGACACCATTGAGCCAGTGCCTTTGTTTCAGGCGGTGGAATTTCCCCCAGATGGCTGCCACTTTTTCATATTATGTACATCCAAGGTGCTACTAGGCGAGAGCCGGCTGCATTCTTGGATGCACCAAGTCCACCTGACAAGTAAGGCTGGTTGGCCCTTCCCAACTTGGTAGTCACGAGGCTGCTGGGTCCACTCCACAATGAAATTATCAGGCCCTATGGTTCAAGCGTTCAGTTTTGACAAGAGCCCAGTAGTCTGCTAATAGTTGTTTTTCAGGAGGGGGAGGGGACAAGGGCAATGCGGACACTATCCCTGTCTTTCAAGGGCCCTCATACATCCCCCACAAAACAGTCGAGTACGCAGGGAAACGATGCTTCCTTAGAAAAACATCCAGAAATGTAAGGCATCTATGGAAAATTTTCTATCAACAAGTATAAACCATAGAAAAAAATGAAATGATGCAAAAAAAAAAGGTTTCGCTGTTTGTGCTGAAAGCCCTCAGACTTGCACACTTGTGGTGAGATACTCCAATCCATTATTTATAATCAAATAAAAAAATGTTAAGGAGCTTCTACAGACTTCTAAAGCTCACCAATACCAGCTCTGACCATCTAGATCCACTTTACGAACTTGTAACACATTAGATAAAATACTTGGGCAGTCCATCAAAGGCTAGCTCAAGTGCCATTTACATTTTCAATTTTAATTTTTTTCAGCCAATTTTTTTAAAAATTGACTAGCTTCGCATATAAGCCCAGCTAATCTCCACTGCTGGATGTCGGACAAAATAGAGTTCTTCCAGTAAGCCCTCAGGAGAGACTCGGGAAGGCTTGATTAAAGGAGAGATTTTAAAGTCATAGAGGTCAAAGCAGATTCCTTTTTAGGCAATTCAGTCTGGCATCACAGCAATATGATGACCTTAGTAAGAACATTCAAATTCGAGACCAGAAATATACTAAGTACATCCTAATAACCCAAGAAACAGGGCGAGCAGTCACCCAGAGTGAAGCTGGCTTATCTTCACATGCATCTCTAAGCCCCATTTTCTTCCTCAGCCCAGGCTTCCTCCGAGACTGCGGTGCCCATTTAGCCTCCACTCCCCTAAGAGCCTGTCTACAGTGGCTTATGAAGGGAAGGGGTAAGAGCCAAATTCCAGGCTGGCCTCAGTTATGTCTAAATGTCAACTTGCTTATCCCACACAGGGAAACCTGTGAGCGTCCTGAGGCAGCTCTCCGAAGGGAACAGGGTCAGGTTCCCTAGGAAGCTTTTTCACCCCAAAGGACAGACAGGAATGTGCTGTCTCAATGATTCCACGGCTAGATAGAATCACAGATATGTTTATCATTCCATTACAATTCTTTACACTCTAGACCTTATGTTCTCAAACCACTGTTTTAGAGAAGATCTCAATGTTTTAGTAAAGCACAAACATCATCAGTCTAGTGTTATTGTGTCCGTGTGTATGTTCTGGATTAAGGCACTTTTTTTTGTTTGGATTACAAACCACATTACTTGATAAATATCTGAGAAAAATGGGAGTGGGTGAGTTGGAAATGAAATTAGACTTTCACTTAGCCTATGAATACAATCCTTCTAAGAAAAAGATTCCTTCAAGTGTTTAGTTTTCTAAATAACTTTATAATGGAGCAAAACCATGCTCTTGTATAAAGAGCCAAGGTCCTTATTCTGGTATAATATTCCCTTTCGGTCAAACAGAAAAATCAACAACAAGGTCATCAGTGTTCTCAGCAACACCAAAGTCCATTTCTGCTCCATGTGTCATCAATGTCCTTATCTATTTACACCCTATTTTATCAACAAAGGGTTTTTTCTTCTAACAGAACCATTAACATTAGCTTAGCTCCATTGTCTTTTCAAGGGATATTTATTAAAATAATGTAGAAAGATTATCCCTGTCCCCCCCAAAAATCACCTTCAATAATCAATACATAAACACTGTTTTCTTCCATATCTCTTCGGACTAGCAATAGTTGATAATACTTCCAGCATAAGATGTCAGCAGTTTTTCTAACCCAAATGACTAAGGCCTTTGATTTAAGAGCTGGATTTGCTTATATTGGCATCTAGATAACACAACCTTAACATCTAATTTCCTGATGCTAGAAAATAGTCAAATCCCTGCTTCTTTAATTATAATAAGAGTATAAAACATATTACCTCAAAAGTTATTTCTATGTCTAAAACCTTTAAGGCACATTTTTCATCCAATAATATAAACACATTCACTACAATGCATCTGGTATGTTAACTCACACAAATTCTACTTCCCCTACCAAGCTTGAAATAAAGTTCTTCTTAGTTGTAACACTATTCTGCCTTAATATGCAGGGAACCTCAAGTTTTAAGCAAGATTTCCCCAGAAGGAAATCGTGGTAACACTAACTTACCTCCCAGAATTTAAACAGTTTGAAAATGTTTTCTTGTTCAATCTCTGTATTTAAAGAATTAGTCATAAGGAAGTTAGCGGTGAGCTGGCCCAAATCTGGGTCACTCCGGGCAGGAAGTGGCTGAGAATCTGCAGCAGATTCTAAAATGTAAAAATCTGCTGGCCACTCTGGCTAAACATACCAAAGACCACCTACTCTACTATTCCCTCCCAGCTCTCACAGCAAAATTTCCTCACCAGAATGGATAAGAAGGAGGTTGCTTCCGATGAAACACAACCAAGGTAACCGTCTGGAGTTTATGGATATTTAACATATGCCAGAAAGAAAAGTACAGATTTTGTCATATTATAAACATGAAATAGGCTAGCCCACAGACCACCTAGGGCTCACTCACAGATTGTACTGTAAATCCATACTACAAGAACTATCCAAAAAGTAGGCATTTTGCTAGGCGATATTTTTACTAAGTGCAGGAAGAATACACATAAAACTGAAGCAATCCTGGAAATGATCTGCTAGACCTTATGCAGAAAGTAATAATATCTTGAAGCCAGAAAATAAAGTCTCTCTTTTTAAAAAATCTGACACCTCTACTCTAAAATCAAAATTGAGTGCTAACCTTAAAAAAACTACACAAATGCACACTCTGAGCATTTCAGCAACGGGAGACCAAGCTCACTGATAAACGTGAAAATAAGCCTCACAATAATGAAGAATCAAAGACTAGAAGACCTCAATGAGTGGTAATAAGAAATAATTTACAATATTTTTTAAATGTTAGATGATTTTTAAGGACAAAGGTACTACAACTAATGTTGCACTGTTTCCAGAACTAATTGGACTAATGTTTGTGACAACAAAATTATGGTCTAAGGCTAAAATCTCTATTTTGTTTACTGAATTTATCGGGGGTAGCACAGGTTAATAAAGCCACACAGGCTCCAGTGCACGCCCCACAGAACATCATCGACTGCACACTGCACCGTGCACTCACCACCCACGGTCGAGTCTCCTTCCGTCCTCACTCACCCCCACTTTGCCTGCCTCCACCTACCTCCACCCCCCTTGCCCTATCACCATACTGCTTCCCAACTTAGCTCAAACTTGCCCCACATATAACCTCAAAAAACTTTAAATAACATGGTTTATAACAGAAATACTGAAAATAAATCATCCTGGAATACTTTTAGATTTTCCCCAGTGTGCCACAAATCACATCCAGAAACCCAAACAAAACAATCACTGAAATGTTTGAGATCCGCTGCTGAACGCGAGCTGCAGGACAAGAAAAGGAGACAGAACTAAGGGGACCGACGGCTCCCTGTCCCCTGCTCGGGCAGTGCCTCTCCTTCAGAGGTCCTAAGCCATGCACGCTCAAGCTGTGAGTCAGTACAGGCCAGCGCTAACACCGTAACAATAATAATAAGATAAATAAAAATAGGCTCTGGTTAGAGGGAGAGGATTCGTTTACTGCCGCCTGCTGAGGTACATCTGACCACCAAGAGCAGGAAAGCTATTAGCATCCTGCAGTAATGGGTGTAGTGGTTTTCAAACAAGATATTTTCATGATGGACACAATGTGGACTCAGCAAAGTTTCTCCTTCAAGAAAAATATAGCTTCTATTTCAAAGAGCTCTGATTAGGCTTAATACCATTAGGAAACCATCAAGGACTTGTGTTGTTGTTTCTGCTTTTAACTATCAGTTACTTTCTAAACCAAAAATTGTGGGTAGTTAACTTGACCGACAGTCGAGGTTTAGGAATGCAGGAGCAAATCCAAGGTGCAGACGAGCTTCAGATGTGGACCGGCCTCAAGGAGTTGGGAAGCCTTTTAGAGTGTCAGGTCCTAGCCTCTCTCATCAGCACCATTATCGTTGTTATGACTTACTTGTCTGTCATTTACAAATAAAAATTCATTTCTTTCATCACATTCCCCCTGAAAAGCACTGAATACTGTACACTTTTAGGAATCCTCAGTAAGCTTTATTAGTGGCATTGTAAGTCAATTACAATAAAAAACCAAATTAAACAGATCTACCTAATGAATAAATCCTCAACCACTAGTGACTGCCTCTATTTGGTAGAGAGAGCTGTTTAGAAAGTCAACAATATTAGTTCCCTTTGTAAATTAATTACAAAAAATATAACTGTTTTCAATTTTCATAATACAAATATAAATTAAATAAGGTTCAAAAGACCACATTCAACAAAATAGTCTATAAAACAAAACTAATTTTAAAAGAGTTGGTCAATTTACTTTGTAACATCCTTTTTATATAAAATTATTTAAAACAGTATGTGTTTTCTGTATCATACATGAAAGTTCACATCCAGATGTCTTTTCCATCAAATCTTTATTCTTTCTCCATTGTCAGAATGTTCACTTTCACTCCTGGACAGATTTTTCTTCCTTGGCAATTCTTTTTGTGAGCCCACTGAAATACCTCTCACGAAAGGAGTTATGGCCTTGGTATGGCAGACACTGACCACTCAGCAGATGTGAGTACTGGTCCCGGTTCTGGTTAGGTGGAAAAGACAGAAAACAAAGATATCTGAGTTAGTTTCCTTAGTTAGCTTGCAACCAAAGCAGTCGTTTACTTTAAGCCGTATCTCACTCTCTGGCGCATACTTGTTTTTCTAGTGTTGTTTCATTCCCTGAAATAGAAATAAACCACCACTTTATGTATGTGTCTTGCTTGGGTGTCCAAAGTGTTTTCACCTGCTTCACCTCATCTCACCCACACAATCCTCTGCACAGAGAGGACAAGCACTTTTTACTGAGAAAACAGAGACCCAGAGAGGACAGATGGTCATCCCAAGCAGCACCAACCGAGATGACCATGTGCATCTTCTGATCCCTAGGTCAGCACAAACTGACATCATCTATGACTGTAAGAACTATCAAATAAGGAAGCTTCTATTCCGAAGGTATATAACAGCAAGGTATTGCATTTGTATAATGTCATACAGGTAAATCAAACTGCTCAGGAGTGCATGTCCATCCAGTTAACAAAATAAACCATACCTGGTAACTTCAAGTTACCACAGTGACTGAAGATACAAGCGACTTCCCCACTAGCAGACTCAGAGGCAGGTAAGCGCTAGCGCTTACACTGACACCTGACAATCTGGACGAGGATGGCATGTTTCCAGGATTAGAAGACTGAGAGACGAAGAATAAAAAATCAACTACTCATCCAATGTCACTAGCCAGCTCAAGCCCTAGAAATAAAATCTCATCCCCCATGTACTTCTGTAAATTCATATTCCACTGCACGTGGGTTAATGTGCTTGTGAGAACAGGTGTGGAGACACAATTAGAAAACAGGAAGCCTAACTTTTTATCCTGATTTCAGTACCAAAATGGTATCTACAAACATACCTAGAAAATAACAATCCTCAAAATATTTTCACATTCTTTCTTATTCCTGTATGAGATGTGTATCTTAATCTTTCCCTCACAGCTAACATTAATAAAAGCCCAGACATACCCAAAGTAATATTATGTTAGCTGATTTGTTTATTAAGAAACTATTTGGCATAGAATTTTTTTTAAATGCACAAAAATTAAATTATTAAACATGCCCAGATTTTCTGATTCATCAAAAAAAATGAAACAAAAAAAACAAAAGGTGGCTACTAAGATTTCATGTCACTAAGTACATCAGCCAAATCCCTGCAAACACACACAGCCATGCCAATGGTTACCAACTGCAGACGATAAAATCTGGTCCACCTTCAGGTATGCGATTAAGGAGTACCAAATGAAAGGCTGTATTCACTGGGCATTTATTATGGGCCCAAATCCATGCTAAATACTTTATATGCACTATCTAACACAGCCAAACCAACTCTCAGAGATATTATCACTATTTACAGATGAGGAATTATTTAAGAGTACAGGCCCAAGATAACACAGCTGGTAAATGACAGAGCTAGAATTTGAATACAGGTATATTTGACCCTAGAGACCATACCGTTAACTACAACATAATAAGGGTTTCTCCAAAAGAACTTTGTCCCTGACTCGAGAAGGAAGAGTATCTCTGGGAAGAAACAGGTGATGAACTAAGACCTACCCAGAAAGGAACCAAGTGGATCCCAAGTGTGATTCACTAAGCTCTAGCACCTAAGAAGATGTATTTCAATGACGCAAAGTGTTCACACCAGGAGGAGGCTGAAGGAGCACAGGGATGCCTAAAAGATTCCACAAGCCTAGGAGTACAGGCGACTTCAGAGGAGGACTCAGTCTGGTCCCCATCCAGGCCTGTAACGGGGACAGGAGCAGCACAGAACTCAGCACTGATTCCAGCACTCAGCCTTGGTGCCGAGTCAAGCTTTTATCAAGTCTGAGAGTCCAGAAAATTTGTCCAATTCCTGAACTACATTAGCTTAATTCTGGAAGAAATGTTCTTTAGTTGGTTACATTTAAAAGCTAAGTTTAGATGCCAACATCCCTCCTGCTACTTGACTTCTCACAGCTCTCTCTCTCATTCTGCACCTAGTTACCAAAATCAGAATCCTGGGTCAAATCCCTGCCCCTTTTCTTCTCATACTAGTCAGTCTGAAACTCTTAGATTCTGCATCTTAAGTATCTCAGGTCCACTTCTCCTCTTTCCCATAACTCCAGTACTGTAGTTTAATAAGCCCTCCCCATTTCTCCTGTTTTTTACCCAAATGATGAGTTGCCCCATCTTCAGTGGTTCCCTCTGTAGTCTTCTCTTCATACTGAGACCAAACTTTACTTATTAAATGCAAATCTAGTATACCAGCATTTCTGGCTAACATCCAAATGGGTTTCAACTTCCTCCAATTCTGAGGCTTTCTCTTAATGTTTGGGACATAAATTCAACTGCACATTAGTGTGCTGAATGTCTTGTCCCTTTCCTCTCCTGTACAGAGGCATCAGCATCCTATCAAGCAATAAGGTCCTCTCCAGCTTTGCCTTCTGTCCTCTTCTCCCTGTGACTCCTTTAGGTCATGCAAAATCACCTCCACTGGAAACTCAGTGTGGACTGCTTCAGGAAATGTCCTGTAGCTGCAGTGGTGAGGAGAATGAGGGCGGAGATGCCCGACTCCTTGATGCAAGCTTAGAAGGCAGAGGCATGGAAGACAGCTGAGGATAGGCTGGGGACTGACTCAGGCTCAGCTGCTTGCACGCCTAGCAAGCCAAAGCTACCAATTATGCAGCTCACTGGTGGAAGCAAGACACAAAGGCCACAACACAATGGGAAATGGACTTCATCTTAGACCAGAGAGAGAACTTAACAAAATAGCTTATCTTTGATCAGAAGGACATAAACAGGGCAAACTGGTGATAAAGAACAGAGAATTATAAAGATTAGAGTCAGGGATATGAAATGAACAGAAGCAGCCTGGAAAACCCAAAAGTAATGATACATACTAATTAATGGCTATCTAGAAAACGTGTACTACCTATATGACATTCTGTGAACAGTTTAGACCTCAAAACTTCCTCAGAATAAAGTAAAAGCAAAATAAGCCCCTAATAGACTGTGGGTTGACCTCTACAGAGATCTGGTGGCAGAGAAGAACACACTACTGGGAAAGTCAGAAAGGACATCAACCTTAAGAAATGCAACCTCTGGAGGAAAACCCTCTTTTCTGTATCTCTCAGGGAGCAGAGGAAAATCAACATGAGGTGTATACTTCAGCCCCATGCTGGAACACCTCCTCTTGTACTGTCCCTGACTGTGAAATAAGACATTTACAACACAAACTCCTAGAGAAACCCAAAGCTCCAAATCCCTTGTGTATGTAGCCCGGGAGCCATTCTGTTACTGTGCAGCAAAAGTCCTGAGTCAGGGGAAGCCAGACACTCCGAGGGCTGTGGCTATCATTTTCATAGAACTGGAAAAGTCATGGCTCATAAAATGTTCCCCATGAAACATTCAGTGTATCTATGGTCTAACACACATAATCACATATATACCACACATGTCAATATCACATGCCACATTTCACATATATCCTGGTCTATATGAACTATACTGTTTGCAACATGCAGAATTTATGTTACCTCAATGCTGAAGAAAACGACAAACTTCTTTTATCTTTTTCTTTCATCCTATCTTTAGTTCAGTTCACTAGGGCTCACACTTGAGATGATTATATCAACTCTACATATTTTTCATCACCTTTTCATGCCTCCTCTCTGTCTGCATTCCCTGCCCGTCTCAAGCAAGACTATCTGCAGATGTTTTTCCAAATCAGTATCGCGAAGGCCGAAGTGCCCACTTGAGAGGACGAGAGTGTCCTCGAGCAACACAGCCCCTGACGTCCTGCAGCAACTCAAATTTGTCCCAGTCCCAGCGTTTGGCCTCTGGTTTTCCTGACACTTCCAATTCTGTCTACCAGTAGACCTATGTGTACAGACCTTGAGGACCTTGAGTTCTACCAATTTTTAGTAAGCAAGAAACACTTCACAGAAAATAGGAACACACAAAGAAATAGGAAATGCCAAGAAAGAAAACTCTGGCACTGAAGGATTACAGATCACCTTTCTCAAATTTCATAACTCCTGGCTAAATTTTGGAGCACTGTAGTGATTAAAGAGATATTAATAAAATATTGGATTACTGATTGCATAGTCTACTGTTTGTCAACTTTTTTTAAAATTTTATTTTAATCATTGTTCAAATACAGTTTTCTCCCTTTTACTCCCAATCCAGCCCCTCTCCCAACCCTCCCCACTTCCCTCCCATTACCACCCTCCCCTTAGTTTATGACCATGTGTCCTTTAAGTTTGTTCCTGTGAACCCTTCCCAATGTCCCCTGAAAGTCCCTCTTCTCTCCCCTCTGGTCACTGTCAGCCTGTCCTCTATTTCAGTGTCTTTGGTTACATTTTGCTTGTTTCTTTGTTTTGTTGTTTAGGTGCCTGTTAAAGGTGAGATTATATGGTATTTGTCTTTCACTGCCTGGCTTGTTTCACTTAGCATAATGTTTTCCAGCTCCATCCAAGCTGTTGCAAAGGGTAGGAGCTCCTTCTTTTTTTCTGCTGCATAGAATTCCATTGTGTAAATGTACCACAGTTTTTTGATCCATTCATTTACTGATGGGCATCTTGGTTGCTTCCAGCATCTAGCTATTGTAAATTGTGCTGCTATGAACATTGGGATGCATAGGTTCTTTTGAATTGGTGATTGAGTATTCTTAGGATAGAGTCCAGGCAGTGGAATTGCTGGGTCAAAAGGCAGATCCATTTTCAGTTTTGTGAGGAAGTTCCATACTGCTTTCCATAGTGGTTGTACCAGTCTGCAGTCCCACCAACAGTGCACTAGGGACCCCTTTTCTCCATAACCTCTCCAACACTTGTTGTTTGTTGCTTTGTTTATGATGGTCATTCTTATTGGTGTGAAGTGGTATCTCATTGTGGTTTTAATTTGCATCTCTCTGATAGCTAGTGATATTGAACATCGTTTCATGTGTCTTTGGATTTTCTGTATGTCCTCCTTGGAGAAGTGTCTGTTCAAGTCCTTTGCCCACTTTTTTAATTGG